TTTAGATACAATGTGTAGTTCATCTCAGCATATAAATTATCTGGGTAACAGTCAATCTTAAAAGAATCTAAGATTTTGCTGCCGGGCACAGTGACTCACACTGTAATCCCAGAACTTTGGGAGGCCAAGGTGGGTGGATAACTTGAGGTCAAGAGTTCGAGACCAGCCTGGCTAACGTGGTGAAACCCTGTCTCTACTAAAAATACAAAAATTAGCAGGGCAGGGTGGTGCATGGCTGAGTTCCCAGCTACTCCGGAGGCTGAGGCAAGAGAATTGCTTGAACCTGGGAGGCGGAGGTTGCAGTGAGCTGAGATCGTGCCATTGCACCCTAGCCTGAGTGACAAAAGTGAGACTCCATCTCAAAAAAAAAAAGAGAATCTAAGATTTGCTTCCTAACTGGACTTAAATTTACTGATTTACTAATTAAGTACATTTGATGTACTAATAACAATCAGTTTTTAATGGTGCTAATGTCTTATAAATGTGACATTAAACAACAAAAATTTTCTGAGGTTGAATGTTAGCTAAATATCTCTACACATTATTAAGAATCCAATAAAGACTTTAATGAAGTTACATTTATAGCGCTAGCTAATAGGAGACACAAAGGTCACAAGCTAGTCTTCTCTCATTGTTTCTTGGCCTATAAAAATCTGGTAGGGGTTTCATAGGATTTTGGCTACATTTGTGTGATCTTACATGGCTGTGGACTTATTAAAGGGATGCAAGTTCACGTTGTTTTCTGGAACACTTCTAATAGTTTTATTTTTGATTTGTTTTTTTCCATTTTCCATGATTTTCAAATTGAACTTTGGTTGACACAGAGTATCAGGTTCCTGGAAGCCAGCTTTGACATATGCCAGTATTAGACTTTCTCTTTCCAGGACAGACCAGCCCAAGTGAAGTGGCGCTGACATTGCATCTCCCTTTGGTTAGTGAAGTCTTTGATAATATTGCAAACATGGGTTTTTTCCTGAGAAATATTTAATAATAGCACATTTATTGATCACCATGCTCTTAACCCTTTCTAGTTATAATTTTTCTTAGGTATTTTATTCCTTGTAAACGCACTTGTGTAGGGTGTTTCAGTGTTCAAAGCACTTTTAGAGATTCTTACTTGATTCTGACGATAGCCCTATGAGATGCACATGGTGTTATTTTGATTTACAGAGTCTTAAGTAACTGGCCCAAGATCACATAGCCAACAAGCATGGAAATAGGGTGAAGAAACCAGTTTTTTCCAGTTCACGGTCCAATAATCTTTCTTCAAGCTAAATGGCACTCTATTTGTTTACATGACTGAAAACTTAGTTCTTTTATTCATGTGAAAGGTCTCCTATGTTGTAACAACTTCCTTGAATGCCACAGAATCGAATGAATTTATTTTATGTCAATGTAGTAGATGTAGCTTCTGTGTTGGGGGGCAGATAATTGGTGGTATTCAGCCAGAAAACCAATTTGTGTAACTTGGAATCTGAATTTTGGGATTTCTCACCTAGTAGAGCATTTGTACCTGTTCCAGCATCCGTCTTCAATTCCAGGAAAACACGCGTGATCCCTTATTGCTCGGTATTCACCTCATTCGGTGGCACAACTGTTTGCTACTTGGCAGTCTGTGCAGAAGTAAGGTCCAGAAATAATTTAGCAAGAGAGTTACTTACATAAAGACTGAGAGCTACGTTGTTCCGTGTAAATGCTGTGCAACATGGCCTCTTTGCGTTTTGTGTCCATGCTGTGCTAGCACTACGAGCTGTCTATGTCCGCCTAATCCACCCTTACTTACTTTTGGAGGAGTCGATTAATTCTTTGCCTGAAATTTGATAATTGTGTCATCAGTGAGGTTATAACATTTTCATAAATGAGCTACAGCTTTAAAAGTAGAATCCTTCTACACAGTGATTGGTAGGCAGTGTTTACTTTTTGTTTGGTAAATAACTGAAATTTAAAAATTCATTTTTAGGTTAGCCAATCCTACTTCCTAGATAGTAATGTAATATTTAAATTTGTCTTTGCCTTTCCCTAGATTCTGGTTTGACTTAACAATGATAAGATTGTTTATTCTTTGATTTGCTTAAAGTTACCATCAGGTTTCTGCTTTCCCACAAGAACACGTGTTTGCATTATTCCAGCCGTAAGACAACAGAACAACCTAGTGTTGCTTGGTTTACTTTGTATGCCTTTTTCTATTTGCATAAACCCTGACCTGAATACAAACTTGTATTTACACCATTCCCCTGACTCCTTCCAAATCAAAGTATTTATTGTCCAGGTAAAACATTTATGGTTAGTGATATAAGCTGACTTTTTTTTTTCTTTGACTTTTTTTCTTTTTTTATTCGAAATAGCATCTCACTTTCGTTTCAGCTGGAGTTCAGTGGTGCAATCACACACGGCTCACTAGCCTTGACGTGGGTTCAAGTGATTCTCCCACCTCTGCCTCCTGAGTAGCTGGGACCACAGGCATGCACCACCAGCCTGACTAATTTTTGTTATTTTTTGTTGAGATGGGGTCTCACCATGTTGCCCAGGCTGGTCTCAAACTCCTAGGCTCAAACCATCCTCCTGCCTCAGCCTCCCAAAGTGCTGGGATTACAGGCATGAGCCACCATGCCTGGCCTGAATTTCAATCTTACTTAAACTCAAACAGCCTTAAGAAATCTGCGTAATGAGTTTGTAGCTTTTAAAAGAGATCTGCCTTATCAAAAATAATTATACTGTCTCATTTCAGGATTATCTATGGCTCTGGTTATTTTTTCTAGGATGGAAACTGAACCCCATCTTTAACATTATTTAAAAACTTGAGAGTTATTTTAAAAGTATACAGGAATTGCTCTCATGGCTAAAATTTTTCCTTAAAAAACCTTTAGCAGTCGCAAATAATTGTTACCTACTGAATTATATTTTTTAAAAAATAGGGGAATTATAGAAGGGTTTTTATTTTATTTTTGTTAAAGATACTTTTGAAAACTAAGTTTAGTGTCAGTTCTTTTACTGTGTGGAATGCTGCCCCTTTCCTTCTTTGTTTATTTTGTGATGGCACATGGATAGATTGTGAAGACGGTCTCTATGTCGACTTCCTATTGTGTGTGTGTGTGTGTGTGTGTGTGTGTGTGTGTGTGTGTGTGTTCCATTTCCCTTTGGGGAAGCAGGAATTGGAGCTAGAAGAGAAAGAAACAAATTATTTTCATCTAATCTTCTTTCTCCTCAGCTTATTTAACTGACCTAAGCTATGGAAAATTTGGTAATTTATATTTAAAATTAATATAATTGTGATTTCCACCTCATGTATTATTTATTTTGAGACAGGGTCTTGCTCTGTCACCCAGGCTGGACTGCAGTGGCGTGACCATAGCTCACTGCCACCTTGAACTCCTGAGCTCAAGTGATCTTCCCACCTCAGCCTCCAGAGTAGCGGGGACTATAGGCAGGTAACACCATGCCTGGTTAATTTTTCAATTTTTTGTAAAGACAGGGTCTCGCTGTGCTGCCCAGAGTGATCTTGAACTCCTGGCCCCAAGTGATCCTCTCTCCTCAGCCTCCCAAAGTGCTGGGAATAGAGGTGTGAGCCATTGTTCCTGGCCCTCCAAAATATTTTTACTTTCATTTAAGTTTGCCACTGATCTCCTATCCTTACTTTCCCTATGTCTCCTCAGTCTTATCTTTATGGTAGTTTAAGAGAGTCTAGGCTGCTGTTTGCTTAGCTAATAGCGCCCCTGGAAGCTATTACCAGTCACATCACTGCCTCACACTGAGTAGGACTTGAAGTTCACGAAACATCTTTCATATGCTCATCTAACTAAAATTGATCCTTTGTGCTTCATATTGATGTTCTTTTCTCTTATTTATTTGTATACTGCTTTATTACTCTATCACATTAGTTGTCAAAGCTAGTAGTTAGTTCACATGTTGATTTTCTAGGCCTGTATCCTTATTAGTCTAAGGTGGGAGAAACAGAGGTAAAATTTCTAAATACCTACCTTAACTGGAAAGGAATAGGAAGAGAATTAATTTAGTAGAATCAACCTTTCTATTTTTGACAAAATAATGTTAAAACAAATTGGTTTTACACACACCCACACTTTTTTACACAGAATTATTGCTGAGTATAGTGTGGTCCAACTTGACTCCATAACTTTTTGGGTTGCTTTATAATTATTAGCTAATAAGTGTTTTTTATTTTAAATGCTACTATAAAATGTTGAAATTGATCTGGTGCCAGTGTCATCCTTGTTAACTTATATCAATCTCTGTGTTTTATAGTCCTTTGAACATATTAACAAGGAAAAAGGAATGACTGGTAATATCAAATCTTATGGTTCTTTGTTAATACAGTTTTAGAGATCTACAAGTTATTAGCCGTAAAATATTTGGTTGGCAGTAGAGAATATTTTTAAAATTCTATAGACAAAAGTAATAAGATAAGGAGTAGAACTACCAGATATTTAAACATACTATAAAGTAACAGTATTGACGCAGTATGGCAAAGGCCCCCGATGAGATGTGTAGATCATTGAAGACAAATAGAAATAAATGCTGTTATTGACATAAATCTGACTATGTTAAAAGAGGCACTGTTAAAGTGGGTAATGAACTGATTATTTAAAAATGGGGTTGTAATAACCAGTTAGCAATTTTAAGGAAAAATGCATTTAGATCATTGTCTATACCAGACACAACAAAAAGTAAGTTTTTGATAAAGCATGGACAATTATATCATTGAAAATCTAGAAGGTAAAAACACTGAATATAATTTCTCTGGAGTTCCTAAGCAATTAGAAAACTGGAAAAAGAAGATAGTGAAAATGTGTTTTATTGTAACAAATTCACATTTGTTTTATTGTAACTATAGCTCTGTGAACATTATAGGAGAGCATGTCTATTCCATGTTCACAATCTGAAAATTAGTCTCATTTTTTTTACATTAGCTGGAAACCATTTTCCTTCCAAACTAACTAATGAAACACAGAATGCAATTCTTTATCTAAAATTTTATTCTGTAGGTGCATTGAAAACTATACAGGAGCTCGTTGTGAAGAGGTTTTTCTCCTAAGCTCCAGCATCCAAACTAAAAGTAACCTGTTTGCAGCTTTCATGGCAGTGGCAGTCCTAGCAACACTTATCATTGGAGCCTTCTACTTCCTTTGCAGGTAACCAAAATAGAAACATGCTTTTGTGAAAAGTAATGCATAAAGTAGTTATTCCACTAAAGAATTAATATGCCCTTTAGTTCTAGATATTTTTCCAGATACTGTATTATGTTTAGTTGTCTCTTTAATATAGATTTTGTTCTTAACATCATTTTTGAAAGCATCTCAATAGGCAGTCTCAATTTGTTCTTTGTTACTGTTGTCAATATTTAACTTATCTGAACTACTAAGGTAGAGCCATACTCACTATAGCAAATATACCAAAAGCACCCAAACATGTGGGTTAGTTGTATTTAAAGTAAATTTTGTATGTGGGAAAAAAAGGAACACTTATGCAATACTGTACATGTTAGCTTAGACATGGTTAATGTGCAGGGCCAGCCGTTTAGTGCCTACTGTGTGCTAGGCATAAAGAATACAATAATTGACAAAGTAGACATGTTTCCTAACTTTAGAGATATTTAAATCAATTTGGAGAGCTAGACAAATAAATAGGCAATTAATTTGGGGAAACTGGTAACTCACAAGGGAGACAAAACAAAAAACTACTTGCATAAAGCAATTATATGCGCCGAAGATTACTTTCATTCGTTTTGATCTTCAATTGTTTTTGAAATTTTGTGAAAGTAAGGAAATACAGAATTTAGTAAGTTTAGGAGTCATCTGGCATAATTCATCGTTAATATTTATTAAACTCACACTGTATTCTGTCATAGATACTTGTGAAAATGGAGGTGAAGGTAATCATAAAAGAGATGCAAGTGGGCTCGAGAAGTTTATATACTAAGAAAGGTAACATGTAGGTAAAATAGTATCTTGTTAGATCCTGATTTCTTAACTACTTTACATCAAGGAATAATTAGAAGTTGAGGAAACTGGGTTTTTTTTTTAAATATGTGGCATTAAATAGTTTATTCCAAAACATATCATTTAAGCAATGCAATCGAGTTTCTCATAATTTTAGCATCTGACTACTTCAGATACAAAAATTTAAATACAAGCCCGCTATATCAGACTGCATTTCCCAGGGATCACCACAGGACATCTCTTATTCCCACATACTCTTCTGCAGTGTGACCTTGACACTCATCAACAAGAGGTAGAGTTTATTGCTACAGAATCCTTGAATCTGGGCAGACACTATGACTGCCTTGATCATAAAATATTGTGGAAATGATACTGTTCCAATTAAGGAAATCGCCTTTACATGTCGTGGAAGTTTCCATCTCTTGCTGCTCATACTTGGGACGCTGCCTCATAGAATCAGCCACCACGTTGTAAGAAGCCGAAACAGCAGGAAGAACCAGCCCCAAGTGAACTTCCAGCCAACAGCCAGCATCAACCAGCCTTTTTAATGAGCCATCCCAGACATTCAGCTCATTGGAACCTTTAGTTGACTCCTGACTTAACTGCCAGTTTACTGCAACCACACAGAGAACCCAAGTAAAAGATAGCCAGCTGTCAACCCACAAAATCATGAGATAAAGTTATTTTATCCCCCAAGTTTGGAGAAGTATGTTATGCATAAGTAGATAACCAGAAGACCCATCTTTGGAATTAGGTTTATGCTTGAGTTTAAATGTATCAGTGTTTGGAAAGCTGAATAATGATATATTCTTATTCTATCCCCCTAAACATTTTGTCAGTCTAATATGCTAAGGGGAAGACCAATATCTACTTCCCTTATTAATCACTCTGGTGCCAATTTGGAGATATAGTTTCCACCTGTTATTGATTGGATAATGAATTATGTTTAATTCATTGTCATTAATATGTCAGGATAGTCTAGGTTTGGCTACAGTAACTACCAACCCTAATAGTTTAGTGGCTTAATAAACAGAAGACTATTTCTCACTTATTGCAGGTAATTAGTATGGATTGGCAAGCAGGGCTTTGCTAATCATAGTCACTTAAGGACTCAAACCGTTGGAGCAACCCCATCTTGAGTGCTGCTGGTTGTCAAAGGGAAAAGAAAGCTCTGGAATGTCTCACGCTTAAATTGAAATGATCTGTCCCAGAAGTGACACACGTCACTTCTGACATAATTCATTAGCCAGGAGTTTCATGGTCCTCCTCAATTATAAGAGGTGGCTGGACATGGTGGCTCATGCCTGTATTCCCAAGTGGGAGGGTTGCCTGAGCCCAGGAGTTTGAGACCTGCCTGGGCGAGCTGGCAAGACCCTGTCTCTACAAAATGAAGGGTAAAAAATATTAGCTGGGTATGATGGCACACATCTGTAGTCCCAGTTACTCGGGAAGCTGAAGCAGGAGGATCCCCCAAGCCCAGGAGTTTGAGATACAGTGAGCTGTGATTATGCCATTGCAGTCCAACCTGGGCAAGGGAAAAAGATTGCTCTCTTATTTTATATAGATAGATTAAATAGATAATATTTATTTATATATTTATATGTGTATATATATTATTTACATATAATACATCTGAGTATCAGGAAATGCAATTCAACCCTATGCCCATATGGTAAAAAGCCAGAAATACATATCTAACATAGCAACCAAAAAATTTATAAGAATATCTACTATTCTGCTGGGAATTGTTGAGAGTGATTTGTGTGATACTAAATCCATAGAACTTGGGCCAGGTGTAGTGGCTCATGCCTGGAATCCTGCCAAGGTGGGAGGACCACTTGAGACCAGGAGTTTGAGACCAGGAGTTTAAGTTGAGCCTGGACAACATAGCGAGATCCCGTCTGTAAAAAAAAATTATTTTTTTAATTATCCAGGTGTGGTAACACATGCATGTAGTCCGAGTTGCCTGAGAGGCTGAGATGGGAAGATCAGTTGAAGCCAGGAATGAGAGGCTGCAGTAAGCTATGATTGCACTACTGCACTCCATCCTGGGTGAGGGAACAAGAGCCTGTCTCAAAATAATTAATTAATTAATTAATTAATGGAACTTTCATATTGTTGTAGTTGCCCCAAAATGAAACTTCCTTTGCCAACCATTGAGTTTGTGAAGGGCACAGTATATTGTACCCACAGGTGTTCAATGCCCCAGAGCAGCAAAGTTTCAGAAAAGAGTGCTTCTAAGCCATAGCTGCTCTGCAGACTTGAGTCAGAACTTAGAAATATTTCTAGTCTGAAGTACACTATAGCAGGCTAAACAATACCTTTTGAGTAGAAAGGGTAAGTATAATAGAAGGAAAAGAGTGTGTGTGTGTATATATATATATATATATATATATATGAATGAAGTGGTGCTGAATACAAGAGAAAAGAGAAAAGAAACCTCCAATCACAAACATTATGTGGGTCTCCATCCTGAATTCACACTATCTGAATGTCTGGGGGTAAAAAGCTAAGGATATAAAATAATCCAGGCTGGTAATGTCTTCAGGTGGTTGACCAGAAACAAATACGAATCAATTCTTGAAAAGCCTACCCTCATCCTTTACCTTAAAAAGTGCCTCACCAGGAGAATTGCCTGAACCCAGGAGGCGGAGGTTGCGGTGAGCCGAGATCGCGCCATTGCACTCCAGCCTGGGTAACAAGAGCGAAACTCCGTCTCAAAAAAAAGTGCCTCACATTATGAAATGATTACCAAACATAGAAGAAAAGAGGCTCAATTAATTAGAACTAGCATGAACAATAGGTAGTAGGATCAGATATTCAGAAATCTGTATTTATTGGAAGAATCAGACACATGACATAAAATAAATGTATTTAATATGTATCAAAAAATGAGAGGCTTAGAAATAAGCAAATTTGGCAAAGACCCAAACAGATCTCCCACAAATCAAATATATTTTTTTAAAATTCAGTACATATCTTAGTTCAATAAATTTTTAAAATTTAATGTATGTCTTTAAACAGCAGATCAAACACAATAAAATAATTAATTAATTGGAAAATAGGAAAAATTACCCAGAGGGCAATCCTCAGAGAAAAAGAAATGGAAAATATTGAAGAGAAGTCAAGAAGCATAGTGACCAGAGTGTATGTGTCTAACTTATGCTTAATTGGAATTCCAGAAGAAAAGAGAGACTGGGGCAGAAGCAGCATTTGAAAAAGAGACCTTTTCAGAACTGATGAAAGTTACCCACAGATGTTAGAAGCCTAACAAATCTCAAGCAGGACAAATGAAAATAAATTTACATGTGGTGAAACAGAGAAATTGTAAAACACCAATTCTAAAGAGAACATCACAAAAGTAGAAAAGAATGGCAGATTATCATAAAAAATGCTACAATTAAACCAAAAGCTTGACTTCTCAGTCAGAAAGAAGTAAATCTAGAACACAGGGCAGTGATATTTTCAATACACTGAGAGAAAACAGTTATCAACACCAAATTTCTGTGGCAGTGAAAACATCTCTCAGGAATGAGGGTAAGATGAAGATAACTTTTGGTAAGCAAAATTTGAGAGCGTTATCCCTGAGTAAACCTTCTGCCTGAAGGATACATGTCAGGGAAAAGGAAGTTGATCCTATATGGCTTGTGTGAAATGCAAGAAAGAACAGAGAAAGCTATTAATATGTGAATAAATCAAATATTGTATAAATTGTAACAATAAAATTGTCCTATGTATTTTTAAAAAGGAGTTAAAATGCATGATAGCAAACAAGTTGAAAGGATTGTAACTAAAGTGTACTAAGGTCTTTATGTAGGGGAGGATATCTATATGAGGTAATTTTGACCTTGATATTTTACCATGAATATTAAAATGTCTAGGGAAACACGTAACAGAAAATCAAAGTGTATGATTTCCAAATTAGCAGAATGACAAACATTGAATTAAAAATGACCAATTAGGTAAAAATACATAAAAAAGAAAATTAAAAATTAGAAAACAGGATAAATAGAAAGCATGACATAAGATCTAGGCTGCTCTATAGTGACCATGTGAAATGCATTTCTCTCTTGAAAATGTGGTGCTTTCAAGGATGAAATTGTTTTCTGTCATAGTTTTCGGTCCATTAGTGGTTGAAATTGCTTTCAACTGAGGGCCTTTTGAACTTTAGTGAGTAATTAGTGCCATCACTGAATGAGGTCCAAAATGATACCCCACTAATGCTAAAATCTGGGCTAGAATCAGTAGTGTTTCAGGAATAGGAGCCAGTATGCTTTTAGAAAATACATACCATTTTGCAGTGGTAAAAGTGGTTCTGAATTCATTTTCATTGATCTAAGCTAAAATTGCATATAGACATATTGAGGCTGGTCCGATGGTAGTGGGCTATCAGAACTTATTAACATTAGTGTCACTAAAGTTGGTATACAACGCCCCACTGCTAAATTTGACTGGCTTTAAAAAAAAAAAAAAAGACATATTGAAAAAATGAAATCGCTGTACATTCCCAAATCATCACATAAATTATAACCTATATTAATTGATCAAATGACTGAAAAACCTGATGTACTGTTACCTTGAAAATGTCCAAAATGTCTTTTTAAAATGCCATTACTAGAATAACTGACTAAAGCCACCCCATGTCACATAAGAGTCCCAACTGATAAAGCTAACCTTTTTAAAAAGGGCACAAAAATAACACGAAGATACAACAGCTTTGCTGCTGTCTTAAAAAGTCCAGGTCATCAGCATCTGAAGTCCCCACAGATGACCTGTGTGTACTAATGGATTTGTTAAATAATGGGGAACAGTTTTGAAGTAGCCCTGACAACGTCAGGTAGTTGTGGAAGGAAAATGAACCTTCAGATAGTCAAGTTATACTTTCATTTGAATGCCATGATGTGTTGTAAAAAGGGGAAAAAAAGAGAAATTAAAAAAAAAAAAAAAAAAAAAAACGTTCTTTCTAGGTCTTCTTACATGCTTTTCCTATTACTCATTTTCCATTTTTGTGTTTCTTTCCTCTTTATTGTCAGGAAGGGCCCATTTCAGAGAGCAGGTTCAGTCCAGTATGATATCAGCCTGGTGGAGATGAGCAGGACCAGCGCCCACCACAGTGAGTAAACTCAAAACGAATGCTTATTTGAAAACCTTAGATGAGACTGTTGTTGTTACCTGTAGGGATGTGGATTTAGATCTATCCAGAAGAAAAAGGTTGATCCTAAAATTTTTCTATTTTTTTTTTTGCCAGATACACTTTTTCACATAAAAATGAACTTCTTATCAGTATGACATAAATCACATTTTTCCCCAAACAAAACAATGTTATCTCAATATGTGAAATTCTGATGTTAGCTCTAATGTGCCACACACACAGAAGGTAGCAGTTTCTCAGGAATATTTTGAAGTGAGCTAGCATATGGGGAGGAGGAAGAGTTCCACCTGTAAAGATCAGCAAATCTTTGGAAAACTTGTAGACAAATTGATGTTTAAAATTGTCTTGAGACTTCTGGCCAAGATGGAGTAACAGGCATTGGATTTATTTCCTACTACTTAAAACAACAAAACATGGACAAAATATACGAAGCAGTGGTTTTTGAAGACGTTGCTATCAGGCAGCAAAGGAACCAGGAGCCCTGAGAGATGGAAAACAGACTAGGTGAGCCAATGATTGCCTTGGATTACTGGCTGGAGAGTGTTTCCAGGCTTTTGTGCAAGGCAGCGAACCCCAGGCTGAGTCTGGCAGACTGTGAGTTGATGGAACAGAGAGTCGGAAAAGATCACGGTGACTATATTGTACTGAAGAGAGTCCTGGAAAAAAGAGAGCTGTATGAAGAGAGAACTCCAGAGACCTTCAGTTCAAGGATTCAGCTGAATACTAACCAGGGCATGTGTGGGAGGAAAATACTTGAGGGTGTGGAAAAAAAAATCACCCGAAAGGATGAGAGGTGCCCAGTATTCACAAGGGCCAGGAAATGTGCCTGTTCCCACCGAGACTGAGAAGCTCACTATTCATGGGGCACTGGGTAGAGTACACAGAAAGGTGTCTCCCTAATAGTGGGGAATAACTAGCCCTAGGTGAAGCACTGGTCCAGTCCTGCCTACTAAACTGTAAAAGCATGAGCTGACAGTATCAGATTGTTTCCAAATAACTACATCCCAGGTCAAATCGCAACAATGCTAAAAACAGCTAGTACCCGACAGGTGAAATTAATAATATTTCACATCCAATAAAATAACCAACCTCCAAAGAAGGAGCAAATGTGCTCAAAATGAGAAATATTAAGAAACTGAAGGCGGGGCATAGTGGCTCATGCCTATAATCCCAACACTTTGGGAGGCCGAGGCAGGTGGATCACTTGAGGTCAGGAGTTCTAAACAGCCTGGCCAACATGGTGAAACCCCATCTCTACTAAAATACAAAAAAAAAAAAATTAGCCAGTGGTGGGTGCCTGTAATCCCAGCTACTCTGGAGCTGAGGCAGAAGAATTGATTGAACTGGGGAGGCAGAGGTTGCAGTGAGCCGAGATTGCGCCACTGCACTCCAGCCTGGGCGACGGAGCAAGACTCCATCTCAAAAAAAAAAAGAAATAGAAACTGATGTTAGAAATGCCAGGCAAGCACAGTTATTATAAATGTATTACATAGATTCAAAAGTTAAGTAGAAACATGGAAGATGTATTTTTTAAAGGGTCCAAGTCGAACTTCCAGAGATGAAAACTAGTGTCTAGGATAAACACACACACACAAAACAAAAAACAAAACAAGAAAACACTGGATGGTATTTGTTAATACCACACCATAGAAAATGGTATTACCTACCATAGAAAATACTGGTGAACTTGAAGATATAGCAATATAAACTATGAAAAAAACACAGAAAGAAAATTTTTAAATGAAAAGACCATCAGTGAGCTGTGTGACAACTGCAGGTGACATAATATTGGCTTAATTGGAGTCCCTGAAGGAGATAAGAGAGAAGAGGGAAAAGAACAAATATTTGAAGAAATAAGAGTCAAAAATTTTTCTAGATTTAATAAAAACAATCAATTCACACATATAAGAAGTTCCCCCAAGGTCTGGCACTCTGACTCACACCTGTAATCCCAGCATTTTGGGAGGCTGAGGCAGGAGGATCACTTGAAGGATGGAGTTTGAGACCAGCCTGGGAAACATAGTGAGATCTCATTTCTACAAAAAAGAAACAAAATTAGCTGGGCATGATGGAGTCTATCTGTAGTCCCAGCTACTTGGGAGGTAGGAGAATCGCTTGAGCCCGGGAGGTCAAGGTTGCAGTGAGCTGAGACTGCGCCACTGCACTCCAGCGACAGGGTAATACACCAAGACATATCATAACCAGTTGCTCAGAACCAGTGATGAAGTCTTAAAGGCAGCTAGGAAAAGACACATTCCAGACAGAGAAACAAAGCTAAGGATTTCAGCGAGCATTTATCAGAATAACACACCTTAAAAGAGTGGAGCAACATATATAATGTATTTTAAAAGGTAAACCTCTAATTCTGCATCAGCAAAAATATCTTTCAAACACAGGCAAAACAGGCAAATCAATCTTGGAAAAGATGAACAAAGTTTTGCCTATTTCTTTTCACACGTCCTAATTCCTAAACTTACTATGAAGCTGCAGTAATCAGTGTAGTACTGGCATAAGGATAAACATATAGATGAGTGAAATTCAATTGGGAGTTCAGATGTGCCACCTTACATTTACAGTAAATGCATTTTTAAAGGGTGCAAGACAATTCAGTGGGGGGTAATAATAATCTTTTCAACAAATAGTGCTGGATCCACTCACAAAAGAATGGATTTAAACTCCTACTTCATACCATATATAAAAATTCACTCAAAATGGATCAAAGATCGAAACATAAGAGCTAAAACCATATAACTCTTAATAGAAAACACAGGTGTAAATCCTCATGACCTTGGATTAGGCGATGGATTCTGAGATATCCTAAAAAGACAAGCAAAAAAGAAAAATGCATAAACTGGATTCATTAACATTAAAAACAAAAAAACTTTTGTGCTTCAAAGGATGCCTTCAAGAAAAGTGAAAAGACAATCTACTTCTAAGAGAAAAATTTTTTAAAATCATACGTATAAGACCTCTCATACATACAATTTGAAATACATATATGTATTTGAATATATAAATAAGATTTACAATTTAACTCATTTAAGAAATGAGCAAAGGATTGGAAGAGTTCTCCAAATAATATGTGCAAATGACTAGTAATCCCATGAAAAGACAATCATCATTAGCCAGCAGGAAGATAACCGAGCGTGCTGCATAGTGTTTTATTCCCCGCTATGAGGAGGCTGAGGTGGAGGATCACTTGAGCCCAGGACTTTGAGGCCAGCCTGGGCAACATAACAAGACTCCATCTCTAAAAAAAACCACAAACTTCAGGAAGGGTGAAAAAAAATGTACATGGATGTTCATAGTACAGCAGCATTATTTATAATAGCCAAAAAAGTAGAAATTAATCAAATGCCCATCAACTGATAAATGGATAAATAAAATGTGCTGTATTCCTACTATGGAATATGATTTGGCAGGAAATGGAAATGAAGTAGTAATATATGCTGGAACATGGACGGACTTTGAAAACAATATGCTGAAGTGAAAGAAGCCAGTCATAAAGGAACACATATTTTATGACAACATTTATATGAAATGTCAGAACAGGCAAATCTATAGAGACAGACAGTAGATTAATGTTTGCCAAGGGTTGGAGGAAATGGGGGATACTGGGGAGTGAAGGCTTAAGGGATGTGGGCTTGCTTTTTGGGAATGAAAGAGTTATAAAATTGATTGTTCTGATAGTTGTACAACTCTGAATATACTAAAAGCCACTGAATCATACAATTTAAATGAGTGAATTGTATGTGAATTATATCTCAAAGCCATAAAAAATCAGTAAACTAACTGTTTAGAAAAAATGAAGGCAAATAGAGATTTTCCAGGCATATGAAAGTTGAAAGAATTTATCATCACCAGAACCGCACTAAGTAAATGTCAAAGGAAGTCCTTCCGGCAAAAGGACAGTCAGATGGAAATACGGATATGCACTGGAAATGACAACTATGTGGAAACTGACAATTTAATGAAAAGTCTTAACAACGTAGAATGGGACTTACAACATACAGAAAAGCAAAACGTATAATAAGAAAACAAAGATTGGGAAGGTAGCAAGAGATACACCCCCCTGTAAGGTTCTCATGCTAAATGTCAAGCAGTATATTATCACTTGAAGGGAAACTATGATAAGTCAAAAATATATACTAGAAACTCTAGAGCAACCTCTAAAAAGTCTAAATCGCCCAGTTAATATAGAGATTATAAAACTGAAAAAAATTACTGTGATATGCTATCTACAAGAAATATACTTTAAGTATAAAGACACAAAGAGGTTAAAAGTAAAAGGATGAATAAAGATACATCATGGTAGCCAGGCACAGAGGCTCATGCCTTGAGGTCACGAGTTCGAGATCAGCCTGGCCAACATGGCAAAACTCCATCTCTACTAAAAATACAAAAATTAGCTGGGCATGGTGGCGGGCACCTGTAATCCCAGCTATTTGGGAGGCTGAGGCAGGAGAATCGCTTGAACCCAGGAGGCAGAGGTTGAAGTGAGCTGAGATCGAGCCACTGTACTCCAGCCTGGGCAACAGACTGAGACTTCATCTCAAAAAAAAAAAAAAGAAAGAAGAAAGAAAAAGAGAGAGAAAGAAAAAGAAAGAAAGAAAGAAAGCTCACCCGGATGAAACTCCTTTTTATGAAATATTCTCAGAGAATCTAGAAGATAATGTCTCAGAGATTTAAAAATTCCTAGCATTACAGGCTGAAGAAATCATGATGTGGTGATAAACCTTAGTGACAGCTGTGCAAGAAAAATTAAATGAAATAAAAACCAAAATGGAGGAAGACACGTATCTAGAATATAAAAAGAACTCTTTCACATCAATAATAAAAAATCAATCCAATTAAAATTTGGGCAAGAAAAAAGCAGAAGCCATAGAGCAATTATTCCATGGCATTCCTGTTTACAATTCAGCATTTCTTAAGGGGGGAAGCCATGTTTGATGCAGAACTCTCAGAAATCAAAAAGAACCAAATGAAAGAATAAGCAGGAAAAAATAAGTGGGAAACAGCTACTTGAAACAGATCTAAATCTTGACACATCCGATATCCAGTTCTTGGGAGGATGCTGGAAACAATGTGGAGTTAATTGAGTCTTTGTTCCAGGAAATGGATGACCTGGGGATGAGGAGATGATCCAGACTCCAATCCTGCTGACCCAGAAAGTGACTCCACTGACCAGAGGACTGTCCCCATCTGCAGGGAGTCTCAGCTGCCACAGCATCATGGCTATGCTCAGAGGGTTTTGATTTTCCTTTCCTTTTCTCCAAGAAGAAATAACTTTCAGGAGAATATTCTTCTGTTAGATTTAATCATTCAACTTAATAAACTTACCTTAAAATTTTTAAAAAGTCAATTGTATTCCTATATATCAATAACAATTAGAAATGGAAATTTAGTAAAGAATTATTTACAATAGAATCTCAATATACTAAGTACATAGGAATACATCAGACAAAAATATGAAAGACCTATACAGTGAAAGCTAAAAAAAATTGCTGAGAGAAATGAAGACCTAAATAAATGGAGAGTTATATTTTGTTCATAGATTTTGAAGATTTAATATTATAAGATGTCAGTTCTCCAATTGACCTATATAGATACAATGCCATCCCCAACAATATCTCAACAGGTGTTTTTGTAAAATTTGACAAGGTGATTCTGAAATTCCCATGGACATGCAAAGGACCTAGAATAGAGAAAATCGTTTTGAAAAAGAACAAAGTTAGAAGCCTCATACTGTCTGATTGACTTACTATAAAGCTGCAATAATCAAGACAATGTGGTATTGGCATCCAGATAGACCACAACTGATTTTTACAAAGCTGCCAAGGCAATTCAGTATAGAAAGGATAGTCTTTCCGACAAATGATGCAGGGGGAGTTTGGATATTCACACGCAAAAACATGAATTCAGACAGTCCCGTAGACAAAAAAATAACTCAAAATGTATCTAAATATAAGAGCTAAAACTATAAAACTATTATAAGAAAACATTAGAGAAAGTCTTTGTGACATTGAATTAGGCAAAGATTTTTAGATGCAATACAAAAAGCACAATTGGGCTGGGTGCAGTGGCTCATGCCTGTAATCCCAGCGCTTTGGGAGGCCGAGGCAGGTGAATCACCTGAGGTCAGGAGTGCGAGACCAGCCTGGCCAACATGGCGAAACCCCGTCCCTACTAAAAATACAAAAATTAGCTGGGCATGATGGCAGGCACCTGTAATCCCAGCTACCTACCCTGGAGGCTAAGGCAGGAGAATCACTTGAACCCAGGAGGCGGAGGTTGCAGTGAGCCAAGATCGTGTCACTGCACTCTAGCCTAGACAACAGAGTGAGAGTCTGTCTTAAAAAAAAAAAAAAAAGAAGAAGAAAGAAAGAAAGAAAGAAAAAGAAATTCTCAGAGAATGGAAAGATTTTAAATGATCATGGTGTTAACTGGAAAGGTTAATGTTACGGGCCAAATCTGATAGAAGCAAGTTTGGAAATAGTATCCTGCCATTAGGTCTTGAGTGCACAGGTATCCATGCTTGTAATTCATCAACAGCGTTTTCCCCAAAAGGTTTGCCTCTTGATTTTTTTATTTTCCCCAGAATGTTCAGTGTTATGGTAAAGATTTATTTTTTTAGAAACCACACACATAAAAACAGCTTTTGACTCCTGTTTATAAAGACATATTTGTGTATATTATATATTTGTGTACATTTATATATACACATATATATACTTTACATTATATATATATATACTTTATATTATATATACACATATATATGTATATATGCTTTATATTATATATGTACATATACATATATATATGTACATATATAATATAAAGTGGCCATGTAGCCTCTCCACACATATACATATGCTCTGGTTAACTGGAGAGTTTTGGAACCTAAGTATTAAATTACTATTTTTTTTAATAGAAAAAGACATAGTAACAAATGTTAAAAATTGGGGTAAGGTATTGGGCTTAGCACAAAATTAGCTCATTTGACCAAACATTTTTTCAAGGATTGAACAATCTCAGTCAATAAATGCAAGGCCATAACTATAAGCAAACAGCAACTCCCTGCCACACACATACACGCCTTTTACTAAATGTGATATGTGTCATGAAAATAGATTATCTGATGAGGAGAGTTGATGGTGAAGACTGGGAGTTGCTTAAAAATGTTAGCTCATTATGAAAATCATAGCATAAATGTACGTCATATTTTAAAACATTAATGACTTCCTTCACCAAGGATGTCTCCCCGCCACCACGCCATCAAGCCTTATTTCATTGGTAGGGTTACTCATGTCGCCTTGTATGCTTATGGAATGTAATCCTCCCCGGGTAATCTTTCCAGTTTATTGCTAGCATAAATCCACAGCCTAAAGTCTTAGCATGCATCTATACTGGTTATAGATCGTCCGTACTACAAAAATGCCCTAAAGCTGACAACACAACTCTCCAAATAGAAAGAAAGCAGTGTAACGATATTAATCATGCACATAACATGCCTCTGTGTGCCAGGCACTGTGGTTAATATTTCAAATATCTTAACCCCCCATAAATCTTTTTTTTCCCCATTTATTTTATTGCATTTTAGGTTTTGGGGTACATGTGAAGAACATGCAAGATTGTTGCATAGGTACACACATGGCAGTGTGATTTGCTGCCTTCCTCCCCATTACCTACATCTGGCATCTCTCCCCATGCTCTCTCTCCCCAGCTCCCCGCCCCCCACTGTCCCTCCCCTATTTCCCCCCAACTGACCCCAGTGTGTAGTGCTCCCCTCCCTGTGTCCATGTGTTCTCATTGTTCAACACCCACCTATGAGTGAGAACATGCGGTGTCTGATCTTCTGCTTTTCTGTCAGTTTGCTGAGAATGATGGTTTCTAGGTTCATCCATGTCCCTACAAAGGACACAAACTCATCGTTTTTGATGGCTGCATAATATTCCATGGTGTATATGTGCCACATTTTCCCTGTCCAGTCTATCATCGATGGGCATTTGGGTTGGTTCCAGGTCTTTGCTATTGTAAACAGTGCTGCAATGAACATTTGTGTGCACGTGTCCTTATAGTAGAACGATTTATAATCATTTGGATATATACCCAGTAATGGGATTGCTGGGTCAAATGGAATTTCTATTTGTAGGTCCTTGAGGAATCACCACACTGTCTTCCACAATGGTTGAACTAATTTACACTCCCACCAACAGTGTAAAAGTGTTCCTTTCCACATCCTCTCCAGCATCTGTTGTCTCCAGATTTTTTAATGATCGCCATTCTAACTGGCGTGAGATGGTATCTCAATGTAGTTTTGGTTTGCATTTCTCTGATGACCAGTGATGATGAGCATTTTTTCATATGTTTGTTGGCCAAACTGCATGGGGTAGGTGGTATTATTCTCACTTTACAATGAGAAAACAGGTTTGGGGACCTTAAACCCATGTTTTTCTTACTGCACTTCTGCTTCCACAGATATGGGTGATAGTCTCAGGGCTCGTTGGCTACAGAGGGAAATTGTGTCTCAATAGTCCCAATTAGCCACAGGTTTTATTAGTCCTTATGTTTCCTTGTATTTTCTAGCCATCTATTACTATTGTCATTGCTGTTACAGTGACTCACTCTAGCAATCTTTTCCCCTCAACCACCCTTTTCTAACGTGCAGTATCTCAGAAAGGTCACCAGCCTTGTTAGAACTTTGGGTAAGAGGGACATTGAGCTAAGGCGGTGGTGATAGTGCTGGTGGGGGTAGAGGAGTTGAGACTTGAATGGGGAATCTGGCATTCTGAGGAGTCTTATAGGACAGGGTGCTGGACATTTTCAATATTCTAGGCTAGTTTACCTCAACACATCCTATGACAACAGAAGGGGTTGGCTTATATACGTGAATAAGATGAGAGAGACATGTAGGTAGGTGTGCATATAAAGAAAAATTGCAGTGGAGAAAGCATCTTATTTTTCATAGATCATGGAGAACACTGAAGAAACGTCAAAGTGAACCAAATCATTGTTTTTATTTTACAAAGGCAGAAAATGAAACACCATTAGGTAAAAGAATTAAAAATTTAATCCTTTATTTCCTAAATGAAATGCTTGTGTAACCTGTCATATCATGAACCTGTCTTAATCCTCTCTGCTGCAAGGCGTCTGTGTTTTTGTAATTGCATCAGCCCACCGGCAACTGCTAAGTAGGGGATACCAGTATAATTCGGAAGTCACGTTGGCTCAGCATGACTCTCCCCGGAAAGCTGATGTGCTGAAGCAACCAGAGACAAATGTTCACACACCCAGAGAGAAACCCTAAGGGACAGATGAGGATCTTATGAAAAAGGATGAAAATCCTCTAAGTGCAAGGAGTCGCTGGCTCAGTGGCCTTCAAAACCACCTCATTCTTGCTCTGTTGATGTATCTGAGAAGCTGCAAGTACAGATGAAAACACTAAGACATTTCACCTGGCAATTAGAAAAAAGCACTGACTGGCTGGGCATGGTGGCTCACGCCTGTAATCCCAGCACTTTGGGAGGCTGAGGCAGGTGGTGATGAGATCAGGAGTTCGAGAACAGCCTGGCCAAAATGATGAAACCTCGTCTCTACTAAAAACACAAAATTAGCCAGACATGGTGGCAAGTGCCTGTAATCCCAGCTACTTGGGAGGCTGATTCAGAATGGCCGGGAGGTGGAGGTTGCAGTGAGCCAAGATCGTGCCACTGCACTCTAGCCTGAGTGACAGAGCAAGATTCCGACTTAAAAAAAGAAAAAGAAAAAAAAAGGGCACTGACTGATGGATACCTCTGTATCATTCTTTCAATACTGATGAAAATGCTTTCTACTAGAAGTGATTTCAAGGATCTGTCTCTCAAAGGAAGAAACAAAACCCCAAAAGTTTAAGACTGCAAAAGATGGACTAATTCTAGGTGCAAATGCCAGTGGAAATTTAGGATTGTTACTGTACTACACAGGTTACAAAGTTCCAAATGTGTTTTTCCTTGTAATTTTTAGTGCATGATTTTGCAGAATGCAGTTTTCATCTTTTTAGGTGCAACATTAAGAACCGGTTCAGTCAGAACAATTTTTAGTTTCTCCAGTTTTTTCTACCCGAGTTACATGGGGAAAAAAAAAAAAAAAAAAAAAAGCAATAGTAACTTGAAGAAAGTGTGAAAATAAAAGTCTTGGAGCAGCGGAAAGGTCAGGCTGGTAAATGTCTTAGGCAGAGGCACATGTACTGGCCGAACGCAACAGCCCATCTCTGAACTATGTCCTCTGTCAAGGCTGTGGACGCTTCTCCACACATCCTGGCCCAGTGTAGGCACTATGAATTCAGTGTGTCGCTAGTGTCACTGATTCATTCATCACCCATCATTCATTCATTTAACAAACACATGAGGAAGAGACACTGAGACAGAGTATACAAAATGAAAAGCGCTCACATAATTTTAATTAATAGATTTTCTTGTGAGAAGTTTTAGATTTTCAGAAAAACTGAGCAGATAGTACAGTTCCCCTATGTTCCTCCCCCACCAAGCCCTGGCCCCAGGCCTTTATGATTAACATCTTGCACTAGTGTGGTATATTTGTTTAACCAATATCGACGCATTTTTATTGTTTGAGACAAGGTCTCACTGTCACCCAGGGTAGTGGAAACCTATAGCTTACATGAAGGGTTCTCTTTTTGTTGTATGACTTTAATGGATTTTGACCAATATATAATGTCATGGATCCACTACTTATTTTTTAGAGATGGAGTCTTGCTGTTGCTCAGGCTGGAATACAGTGATGCGATCTCGGCTCACTGCAACCTCCACCTCCTAGGTTCAAGCAATTCTTCTGCCTCAGCCTCCTGAGTAGCTAGGATTACAAACGCATGCCACCATGCCCAACTAATTTTTTGTATTTTTAGTAGAGATGGAGTTTCACCGTGCTAGCCAGGATC